AAAAATTTGATTATCATACTGCATTACTCAATATTGAAATAAATCCATAGTAAAGTAGCCTAATCAATGTCTGTTATTATCACAACATATCAGTGACAAGCTAATTGGATTCATTTTAAGATTTGCTGCTATTGTCATTATTCTAATGTGCTTCATCAGGATGATTGAATAAAATATTATTGATTAGACATGTTTTTGATATTTATTTTGGATAATTAATTGGTATGTTAATTTAGTATTAGGCAACTTTATTTTCTTTAGAATACACAAAATTAGTCGTTTGATTAATCGACTAATCGAAAAAATAATTGTAAAATAATTGCTATGTACAGCCCTAATTGAATGATAACGAATAAGGTTCGTGAGCTAAATTGAATACTATAAATTATATTGTTGCCACACTTTAGTATAAAAGTTAGGCCACATAAAGTAAAATTACTGTATCTTAGCATACTGTATGGGTCTTCCATGTGGTGTTGTAATCTAACTTGAGCCAATTTCACATGCTTTGCAGTAACTTTAGCTTACCTGTCCAAAAGGACGAGAGCCAAATCAAGCCTTTAGTATTGTGTCGTTCAAAGAACGTTTCGTTCATTTGACCTAATCTTGTATGTGACTCAGGAGGAACGGGTTGTCTCAGTGAGTAATTCGTTCATTTTCACGCATGCGTGAATAGTCTTGGACTCTTAACATTCACTCGTCACGGCAGCAGCATGGGCTTCGTCAGCACAGGAAACAGTACTGTGGGTCTCTGGGTTTGAGTCGTTAATTTTTCAGGTGACAGCTCGGCTACTGTGGAGCAGGAATTAATTAATCGTTCAGTGCTCACATGGGTCCTCCTCGGAGTCTGTCTTCACTCGGCAGGCTGAGGTACTGCTAGCGCCAGAGAATGAGAGGCAAGTCGGTTGTCAGGTAACACTCACTGGACTGACATTATATATTTATTTTGATAATGTTGTGACATTTAACAAAGCGTAACATTATTACAGCGCAGTGTGATGTTGTGCAATAGTTTTAACACAGCTGTACTGTAACTTTAGTCCTGCTAATGTTTACAGCTAACAGCTGATGAGAGTTATTCTGGGTCCGCTCCACTTCAGAGCCCTGACAGAGTTCTACTGAAATGTTGTACCTGGACTTGCTTCCAGGTACTTTTTTTCGCGAATAGCGAGCTGATGGATACTAAAATATAACATGAAAACACGACAGACTGCTGATTGGTCAGAGAGAATATTCACTATTCACTGCATCATCATTGCGTGCGCCAGACAGAGGCCAGCAACAGAAAGTTTAACAGTTTTTGTACACAGATTTGTACACAATGTAACTTCACAGACTGTTCAAGTGCGGAGTTGTTGTAAACGTTGGCTAACACAGCTACAGTTGTAGCTATAATGCTAATGTTACACCCGATGTGAAAGCTACTGAGCAAACATTCAAATTGTTTAGCCAATTTTTATGTAAAATTTAGTTGAAATATGGTGATTTTTGTAGTGGTTTATGGTAAGATGTGGAACAATGATGTTGTGGACTTGTGAGTAACTTAAACCATTTGCTAGGTTACGCTCGCAGTCTGAAGCGGCTTTGATTTGGATCACACTACCTTGTTTCTTACGACCCGCCCTTCTCTGCTTCTGATTGGCTAGTAGTCCTTACCTGGGAACTGCACATGTGCAACTCCCAACAAAGATTTTGTACAAGTAAGATGCATCACTCTGTAGCTCAAGAGCGGAGCGTACAACACACAGGGTGAAAAGAGGAGCTGCAGCAATGTGCAGTATGAGAAAAATATGGTGTTTTTTGAAAATTAAACCATGTAAACCTGTTCTGGTACAACGCCTAATTAAGATTTTGAACCTGAAAATGAGCATAATACCACCTCTTCAAAACACAGCCAAATAGCAACGTTAGCGTTAGCCCTGTGGTTTGTTCACAGCTGATCTGGTCCACCAGAGAACGCAACACAACTTTTACTTTTTATTTACCAACAGAGCCGTGCTGTTGTTTCACAGATCCTGACTGGTGAACAACCTGCAGTGTTTGAGATTATTATTAAATTTGTTAAATTTTAATAAGAGGTGTTTTATTCATCTAGTGTGTCAAGCTTATTACTTCAACATATTCCCTGCAAGATTTTATTCATAGATAAGGACATTAGGCTGCTGTATGAATGAGCACTTTAAAGATATAAAGATAGTAATTATAATTATATACATATATATATATATATGGCTGGTCTGCTGGTCTGCTTGTATACTCAGGAAAGAGGAAATGAATGGATTTAACCGGAATAGTGGCTTAATTGAATATTGACAACATATTTCTGTAGTTTTTCCATGGATGAATGAATGAATTTGGTTGTGGCTCCATGGGGCTTTATAAAGCAATGATGGAGAAAGATCAAGAGGTGAATTTGTGCATTATACTTTGTCAATTAGAGCAAACCAGGCAGCCTTCTGTGTTTGAGAACTTGGTGACTCAAGTCTGTCAAAAGTCTGACTTTTCCCATCACTACAAGCCTTTCCGATGCTGTTCTTGTTTGTCGTGACGGGCTTCAGCACATAAAGTTTTATTGCTGTTTTTTATCCTTAAGTGGAGTTTGTGTTGAAGCCTGTGTTGTGTTGGGAGCTGGTCGTTTTTTGGTTAGTGGACTCAATTTCGTAAGCTGCGGTGTTGAAGCAGAATAGCGCTTAACCCAAGGGACTGAGAAAGCGGGCATGTGGTTCATTTTTAATTCAGGTTACAGCAGTGCAACCTGTTTTACATTTAAAAGAATACCCTATATCTCCACTTAATAGACACTTTTTACAACTACAGTAGGCTAGGTGTGAAGCTCTTGGTATCTTAGCACAAAGCAGAAGTACCGTTGCTATTGATGTATATTTTGACACCTGCAAGTCTATTTAGAAACAAGTAGCTTCCTTTCTGTGGCTGTGGTATGACTGCGGTTAGCACTCTTAGCTGTAGAGCTACTTTTTTAGCTGTTACAAGATTAAAGTTTCTTCTTCGTGAAAGTAATAATGATTATTCAGGCCGGCAAAACAAAGTTTCAATTTAAGTAGCCTACTGCACTATTTTAGATCATTGGGTTTTTTTGATTAGGTCATCTTCTATACTTGCTTACCCATGCAGGATTGTGGGTGGCTGGATCCAAGCTGGCTTAGGGCGAGAGGCAGAGTATACCCTGAACAGGTCGCCAGTCCATCGCAGGGCTATAATGTCCACCGCAAGGCAGTAATGCTGTACATGTATTTATTTTCATATTTACTAACTTGTTTTTGTCTTAATACTCCTTCCACAGATTTGTCCATCAGATGTACTGATCAGTGAGGTCTAGACTCTGTTCCTGTCACCTTTTCCTGTGGTGAAAACTGCATTTCAAACCTCCTTTTAAGTACCACTTATTCAAATGTTTCCACACCAATGTAGCCAAAATTGCTAAATGTAAAACAGAAAAAAAAAAGAGAAAGAAAGGCATGATGACTTTGGCGACAGGCTATTGGTAGAAAATATTAAATGGCTTATCGTGACGCATTCCCTCGACCCTTTATGTGTCAGGCCACTGAAAGCTTCCTCTCTCTTACTACTTCTAATGGTCAGTGTGTTTGTGTGTGTGTATGCGTGTATGCGTGTGTGTGTGTCAGTGTGTGATACCACAGTTAGTGTGTGAACAGTGCTGCACAAAAATGTCCCAGTTTCAGTTTCCAGTTCTGTGGGTTACATGTGTATGTGAAGCGTCAATTTTTGTAGTAGAGTTAAATGACTTACTCAAAAATTGTAATTTCTTGACTTTCTTTCTGCTCTATTTTCTGCTTCTGTAGGTGCTGAAATTCATTTCTCTGCCTATTCGCTGATATTTTTTTCTCCTTTTGTGACTGTTTATAATCTTTGCAAAATGGCAGCTCTAGAAAGAAGCTGACAGCAAATGCTTATTCTAAAGGTCTGAAACCAAAATCTGAAGTTACCTTTTATGATTTGAAATTTCTGCAGTCTTTGACTTTCTGTGACTCAATGAATGACAAAAACATCAGACTAATAGACCTTTAAATAGATTAACTCAAAGAGAAAGTGCATCCACACATCTTTGTGAAACAGGTGATGCTAGAGGCTCGGTTCCGTAGGGACTACTGTAGCATGGCTGACAAGCTAACATGTTAGCAAGCCACGAAAATGCTATTGCTAGTCTGTCACATAGCCCTCAGGGCTTCTTTCTTTAATTCTCTGTGCTAGGACGTTTACTGCCCCCCTGACATTTTGATCTCAGGATGGTACAGCTACGATAGCTTCTTCTATTTAGGACTGCCCGTTCCCTAAAAGGTCAGCAGTGTCAAGATGGTGCAAATTTATGTGTTAAAGTTCAACAAATTTGGATTCAAAATTGCAATTATTTACTTCACCTTCTCAAGTGAATCTACTGAAAGTGGAGATTACAGTGAAATTAATTGATTTTATCATGGAATGTCTACATTTCAATGCCTTTCATCACGATGCACTGAACTTTAACAGCTATGGTTAGCTAACATTATTCTGGCAGCCATCCAGAAAACATCAATGTCAACAATTTCAGACTGCTATAAAAAGGAGAAGAAAATGATGGCTGGCCAGCACCCAGTTAACTAGTTATGATAAAATGATCTGAGATGACTTGATCTGGACCGGGTTGGAGAATTCATTGGCTGTTAGAAATGGTGTTTATATGTTAAGCATTCACATGTGTGGGATGGTGCCACTGCACGAATACACACACACCTAGGTTTCTCCATTCTTTTGAATGTCTCCCAAAGTTTTTCTTCCGTTTCATATGTTTTGCTCTTCTTGTCTTTGCTTTGTAGTAACCCTCACTAGATTACAACTTGTGTATGTTGTGATTCATAATTTTCTTCTTAAATAAATAATAATAAATCAACTCTGAAGCCCTTTTGCTATAAGTAGGAACCACATAGGACACTGAAGTGTATTTCTGAAACGAGGTCTATACTCAATGAAGAAAAAATCCTCACCTTCCGCTCCATCTTTCCGGGAGGAAGCGGTCCGGCTGCTGGAACACCTCTGGGTCACGGTGTACAGAGTGGCTGATATAGATCACGCCATAATCCTTTGGGACATTAAACCCTGCGAGAGTGGAGTCCTATACACACACAAACACACACACACACACACACACACACACACACACACACACACGGACATTACATCACATTATTACATGTTATTTAAATTATCTGACATTCACATTTCTTTCTCCCTTTCTGGATTGTCAAGAAAGCGGTAGTTGATCAGTTTTGTGGTGATTTCAGTCAATTTTCCTCAAGGCCTCAGTTTAAATGATGAGTGAATAAACAAAGCTTACAAAATATTATGAAATTAAGTTAAACTGAAATATGCAACAGTTTGTGAGTGGAATGAACACCCAACTGGAAAATCATACAAAAGGTCTTGTATTCACATCTATGACACCTGTGATGACACCTATGTATTTTAACTGTTTAACTGTTCAGGACTTTGTAAGAAGTGTTATTGCACCCAACTGGGAACACTGAAATGACGCAACTTTGAGAACATGCTATTAATATCCCTTTGAACCAACATGAATGGGAGACTTCTTTAACCCTGATGTTTGGCTCATATGAAAATTACATTTACATTTCATTTTGAACAACATTTCCTGAGTTGTTTTTTCACAAAGCCACCCACCTTGGGGCAAAAAGACCACTTAACCAATTGTTACCCTTTTAATTCATCTTTTCACTACATCCATTAGTAGCTGCACTAATGGACTGCCACGGAACATGATCACTGTTTCTCTTTCCTCTCCCCTCTTCCTCATTTTTCTCTCTGCTGGAGTGGAAAATCTTTAAAAAATCTCTTTCTTTCTCCCGGTTCTCACTGAGAGATGTCGCTGCCCTCACAGAGTTCATTCTCTCTCCCTCTTGCTCTCAGACACACACAGTTGCTAAAACTATTGCATATCTTAGTTCCACCTGGATGGCGGTCCTACTTTTTCCACCTGATTGTGAATACTAATATTTTCTCTTTCTTACACGCCTACCTGCACACATAAACATCTCATCAACCCCAGATGCAGCACTTCCCTCTAGCTTTTCTTTTCATTAGCAGTGTGTTGGAGGTTTTACAAAAGGTACTGCCAAGGGAAAAATCTACTGTCACTCTTTCTGGTTTTGTTCCTTGTCAATTATTCAATATTAAAACATCACTGTGGCTTCATTATTTTGATACGTTTCATTACAGTCATTATAACATTCAACTTAAAAAGTATATTATATGAGACGTAAGTACTTCTACTAACTACTTAAATACTTTTCAACACAAATATTCTACTAGCCTACTTGAGTCGGCATAGAAATTTTATTCTCCTTCCTTCTCTAATAATAACAAATACATCTTGCGTTTTTGTTTTCTATATTTTGTTTCATTGTTTCATGACCTTTGTGGCTTTAAAAAAAACACACGTGTCAGACACATCTATTCATTGAGTTCTTTCTTCTCTAAAATTCTCCCACACGTCATGAACCCGGGTCCCGCTGATGCCAACAGCAATCGAAGAGTGCTGGTGCGTTTCCAAAAAGTGACAAATGACTTTCCACTCGGCTTCACAGTGTCACCAGCACACATCACTCCCACCGCCAATCCTGACATCCCACCCCAGCTCCCTTCCTTCTGGGGGAGCGGAGCCGATCGATCACAGAAATGAATCAATGCCTCTGATTGGGCTGTTGCATAAGGCTGTTGTAACAAATAAAGTTGGCTTACAGGATAAAAGATGATTGTGTGTATAGCACACAGATTTACAATACAGTATAGGTTATAGACCAGAATAGTTAACATGCACAGATAGATAGTAAACGATAAGATGAAGTGATGGCTGCATGAACATGCAATAAGTTCATCTATCAGGCCTGCAGTAAATAATGTGAATTTTGAGTTGAATGCCTCTGTAATTAGTCTAATGATATTTCATTAGATGTGTCATGATGCATTTAAAACATACAGTATATGCTGCTCAAATACTGATAGTTAGGCCTCTGTTAACGCGGTAATCAATGTAACAGGACTCACAATCTGTCTTTGTTTTACTGTAGTTTCTGTCTCGCCTGGAACACTGTAAATGTCCTCAGTGCTTCAAGTCTCAAAGGTTGTTACAGGACTTTTACCAACAATAGCTGAGAGACACTTGATGCAAAATGATGAGCCTGAAACTGATTGACCAAACTAGTATAATGCACTGTAAGGTGTTTGCGTGACTCATGGTAGGTGTACAGTGGAAGAACCTTTTATCTACAGTAATATGTCGCCATCTACAGGAAAGGAGTGCAACACAGAAAACGGCAAAAAAATAAAATAAAATCCTGCCCTGTGTCACATTTTGAAGACTGCCGGAATATAAATACAAACAACACTACAAATCCTTCAGCTCAAGTGTACAGAAATGGGTTATTTCACAAGGTTTGATCAGGAGGAAATTAAGTTACCCTAGATTAGTTAAACCTTGACATTCTTAGTTATAACTGTTTGTCCAATTAACAGCCTTGTTAAAACATCCACATGAAAACATTTGCATGAACTAAATCCCCATATTTTGTCATATTTTTTACTGAACATTTTACTCCATACAGAAAAAACAAAAAAAAACAGCTAACGTGCTAGTTGTTATAGTAATGCTCCCTTTAGTTTGCTCTTAAATTTGCTCTTCATGTCACTTATAATGTTCATAATTCAGGGATTGGCATTTACATTTTGCACTCATTGTTAAGATTTTCTGGACAACTGTATCTACTATGTGCCAAAATGTGAAGCATAAAATGCTTAAATGAGTCCCATTTCATTTCAGTCTCTACACAACAGCTCAGTGTTTTCCATTTGCTGGAAACCCTTAAAATAATAAATCCTGATCTTCACATTTTTTTGAGTTTATATTTGTCCAGAGACTAGTGCTATTTATAATTATAATGGCTTTAGAAAATTCAGAACACTGGATGAGAAATGCTGAATACTCATTCTGATCTACATGAAAATCAACAGGATGCTAAACCAGTCCCCAGGTGAACACTCCTACCTGATTAGCTATTCTGCGTCCACCAATGAAAGGAGGCCAAAGTCTCTGCACCTCCAGCAGGACTCTGTGCAGGTAATCAGGGTCTTCCATCGCTTGCCGGCGCATCTTCTCGTGGACATGGAGAAAGATTTTTGATTGTTAATTTTATTTAAAGCATAAAGAAATAGGCATATAGTTGTGGTTATTGCAGAGGCCTAACTTTCACTTCACACAATACCAATGTCCATCACAGTGTTTTTATCAGGATGCTGAAGTGTTGATCTAAGTATGCAAAGAGCTGGACCAGTATGATGGATTTGAGTGGTATGTTACAATTAATTGAATTGAATTATCTTTAAGGTACTTTCTTAACATCTAAAGATATAAAGCCTGTGTGCAAAACTTGGATCTTACCACAATTTGTACATTTTACTGCTTACACAATTTCTGTGCACTGAAGACAATTTTCTTTCAGTCATTTTGTCTCATCATGAAATCACCTGTCCGTTTCCACCAAGTGCCAGTGTGAAGGAGGTGAGCAGCGACGCCAGGGCTTTGGGGATCAGAGCTGAGATGAACAGCAGGAGATGCTGGGAGGCAGAGCTGGAGTCGGGAAGCGGCAAGGAACCAAGTGAGCCGACAAAACTGAAGAGATCCGACAAGGGAGAGAGGAGACAGCAAGAATTAGAGTCATGTTCTAGAGATCATTACTAATTAATAGCAGGTTACTATAAACAAATCAACGAAAACAGATCAACAGTCTCTACTAGCCTCTGATTTATGGCATTATTCTACAATACTACCAGCAGTGCGTTTGGGAATGATGGTAAAATGGAGTTTTCATTTTACCATCAGTGTGTGTGTGTGTGTGTGTGTCTGCATGCAATGCAAGAAAAAGAGATAAAGATACTGAAATTTAGAAAGAAAGAAGGAGAATGCAAGAGGCTGAGAGGGAAAGAACAGAAGCAATTGGGCGGTTCCTTCTGTCTATGCTAGGAACTGTGTGTGTGTTTTTGTGTGCCTGCCTGTGTTTGTGTGTACGACTGAGAAAGGCACAGAGAAAGACAGAGGTACAGACACATATGCAGCCTCACCCCTGTGTGTCATTCTCCAGTTTGTCTTTGATGATGTCCACCAGTTTGTCTCTGGCGTCCAGAGCGGTAGAGAAACCTGAAGACCACAGAGGAACCTTCACGTTCACCGGAGCAGAGATCAGACCTGCGGGGTCAAACAACGAGTTGTTCAAAAAATGGGCAAAGATGGTCAAAACCACACAAACGTTTATTGAACTGAAATGAAAGTGGAAGTTTTGCAGTGCTGTATTGCAGAACAACAAAACTGGCTCATTACATATGTCTGCAACAGTGTCTTAAGTGTCTTACAAAACCAGTGCTGCATTTAAGTACAAGACACATTTACACAGATTCTTTTTGGGGCAGTTTATCTATCTTTATCTTTATATAGTAACAGAAAGCAAATAAGGCTGCTTAGGAAGGTCAGGGGAAGCAAGTTGTGGTTTTGTGTGTGTATGTGTGTTCATACCATGCCAGTGCCGTGTACAGAGCTGCACAATGTCCTGGTAAAGTTCAGGCTGCTCCTCTGCTCTTACGTTCAGAAAAATGCCCAATACCAATTCTGTCCCCAGACGCTTAAAGGCAGAGTATACACACTCTGGCTGGCCACTATACACACACACACACACACACACACACGGATCACATGTTTGTTAGTTGCATACATTAACTTTACTGTCCCAAAACAATTAGTCTTTAATGTAAATATAAAGTGACTTGAATTAAATGCTGCTAACAATCCCATAAAGGACTGGGAAAAAAACACATCATGAAACTGTATTTATTGTAAGTGACATGTGGCTGCTGTAACTTTTCTTCATTGCGCACACACACACAGTGAAACATGATCTCCACACCATTTTTTTATGTCACTGCTGATATTGTTTTTCCAAATGTCTTTTATATTTTAGTTTTACAGCTTGTGAAACAACTTATAATCCTGCTTTGTACATCACTTTGGACAAAAATGTCAGCCAAAATAATAAATGTACATGCTTTGAGTGAGTGCTGGAGGTTTATATTAAGTGTTACCTGAGAGAGAGGTCCTTTAGACAGCGCTCACATACACTGTGGAGAGAAAGAGGTAGAGAAACACACACACGCTTCAGTCTCAAAATTAAGTCATTCAAAAAACACGTCCTGGCAGCGCATTTTGCTACATTCTGTACATTATAATAACATAATCTGCGTTCACTTGCTATTCCAGCATTTGACTCCCCAGATTACACACAGTAAAATTATTGTAGGGTCAGCTCTTGCTCAAGAAACCTTCGACATGGATGGACGCATTACAACTGTTGGAGCAATAAAGGCTTTGCTGTTGTGTCACCATTTTCTGTGCCATCACAGATATCCATTGAACAAGAAGCTCTAAATACACAACTAGAGTAAAAAAATGAGCCTGTCTGTGAAGAACCATGTGACCCTACAGGTCATTAAATACGTATTAACACAAACTTCAGTCAAAGGTATCCACGACAACAAAACTATTCTAATAACATTACTCTCCCCACCTGGTGATATAATCACTTGATGATTCCAGACAACTTCCTGTGAACAGGCTGCTGAGAGACAGACGGAGGAGACATGCCTCCTCACCTGAAACACACAAATACAAAAGTCACTTAGGTTATATTTGCAGAGCTGAATTCAAACACATTTCTACAGTCACGATCTTGCATTACTAAGGTGTTGGGTTTATATTGCTGTGAGTGGCTGCCTTTTGGAAAGTGTTAGCATTGTTTTCTAATCTTTGTCACGCCTTCTGTTTTGTTTTGTGCATGCATGTGTTTACCGTTAGTGGTGACAACGGTGTCCCCATAAATGTTGGTCATCAGGTCAGTTGGATCCTTCAGAAACAAATTAGACTTCTCTGAAACACACAACGTAAATGTTATTACATACACACACACACACATATATGCATACTGTTCACACACATATCCATGTCGGGGTTTAATTCTGCCTGCAGGTTTATGTGTCCTACAAACAAAGCAGGCTAGAAGAACAGATACTGGGGGTGCTTCTGTGGAAGTGTAATAGTTACGGCGTAACAAGATAGCAGGATTCAATAATGCAAATGAATCCTCTTCTCAAATCCAATTGACCCAGGGAAACAAAAAATGAAAATGAAATAAACATTAGAAATATTTATAATATATCTAAATGGATTGCAGTTTATGTTCACACAAAGACTCCTTTAGGGTATGGTGTATTTCACCATGCCTGACATCTGGTTGAAATATAAAATTCATCATCTTTAAAGCCTAGTTAATTGTCTGTTTTGGAATAATGTTCTTTTATGTCTCAATTCACTATGCCACTATTTTTTTTATTATGAAAATTTCATCCAAAATACAATAAAACATATCATGCACTGAGGAATTTGGCATATTTAGTGAAAAAGGGGATACATGGTACATGGATTGAAAAACAAATGGTTTGGTTTTGGTACTAAAGGTCAGGTACAATATTGGCACAAATATCTAAATTCTTCAAATAAGCAACATAATTACGCTCTTGAGCTACAGAGTGATTCTTTCTTGTACAAAAGCTTTGTTGGGAGTTGCACATGCGAAGTTCCCAGGTAAGGACTACTAGCCAATCAGAAGCAGAGAAGGGCGGGTTGCTTTATTTCACAAATTCACCTCTTGATTCCTGTATATTTCAAACCATGTAAAAACCACAGAAATATGTTGTCTATATGCAATCCACTACTCCGCCTAAATCCTTCCATTTTCACAATCTTTCCCGAGTATACAACCAGACCTGCCACATAAAGGCTTATGTATATAATTACTATCATTATCTCTAAAGTGCTCATTCATACAGTAGCCTATCGTCCCTATCCATGAGTAAAATATCAATATCAGATTTGCAGTAAATATACTTAAGTAATAAGCTTGATACACTATATGAATAAACACACTCTTATTAAAATTCAACCAATTTAATAATAATCTGGATCAAGCCACCAAGTTCTTAAAGAACTCCAGCACAGAGAGAGGAACAAAGAAATAAACACATATAAACGGAGCAGTTTGGCAGGTCTGGACGCAGAATGGGCCACATCAGGTCCGGATTCCGCAGACAGAGAAACACACATGAGCACATCGCTCTCAAACACTGCAGGTTGTTCACCAGCCAAGAGCTGTGAAACAACAGCACAGCTCTGTTGGTAAATAAAAAGTTATGTTGTGTTCTCTGGATCAGCTGTTAGCTGTAAACAAACCACAGGGCTAATGCTAACATTGCTACTTGGCTGTGGCTGTCCCTTGGGCTGGACTTTGGGCTTTTTCACTTTGCAAACCTGTTACATGCAAAAAAAGAGATATAACTCAATAAAGGAGAGGGGAAAAGCCAAAAAGCATAATACCACCTCTTTAATGTTTTAATGACCGCGTCTGTTTGTTTTGGAGAGGAGACGACCTCTGAGGTAATTCAGCTCCCGGCAGAACCCTGTCAGGGCTCTGAAGTGGACCCAGAACAACTCTCATCAGCTGTTAGCTGTAATGTTAAACACTAGCAGGACTAAAGTTACGGTACGGCTGTGTTCAAACTATAATTTAGCACAACATCACTGCGCTGTAATAACGTTATGCTTTATAAAATGTCACATAATTAACAAAATGGCTATATAATGTCAGTCCAGTGTTACCTGACAGCCGACCTGCCTCTCATTCTCTGGCGCTGGCAGTAACTCAGCCTGCAGAATGAACGAAAGACTGAGCGAGTGGTTCATTCCTGCTCCACAGTAGGAGCTGTCACGTGACAAATGAACGACTCAAACAGACCCACAGTTGAGAGTCGTCAACTAATCAATTCTGTTTCCTGTGCTGACGGAGCCCATGCAGCTGCCATGTGACGAGTGAACGTAAGAGTCCAAGATCCTTCACGCATGCGTGTAAAGGAACGAATCACTCACTGAGACAACCCGTTCCTCCCGAGTCATACACACGATTAGGTCTTATGAACGAAACGTTCATTGAACGACACAACACTAGACTGCGACCGTAACCTAGCAGATGGTTTAAGTTACTCGCAAATCCACAACATCATTGTTCTACATCTTTTGAATGAATCAATTTGAATGTTTGCTCAGTAGCTTTCACATCGGGTGTAACATTAGCATTATAGCTACAACTGTAGCTGTGTTAGCCAACGTTTACAACAACTTCGCACTTGAACAGTCTGTGAAGTTACACTGCGTGTTTATTTTAAATATAATTCAAAACCAATAAAGCATACTTACAGGTTGTGATTGTGAATTTCCAGGCTCAAACAGAGTCGGAGTTGCTTCGTGTTTTAGGACTAAACTTTGAACTGTTGGCGGTGTTCTGACGATTTATCCTGCCTTGCCGAAAATTGCCACCATAGCGCAAATCGATAGACTCGACTCTACTCGGCCCTGCTCCGTTTTCCATTGCAGACAGTACCCAGAGATAGTATGTAGCTGGTCGTCATAGCGACACACAACTGCCGCGACGTAATGTTCAATGCGACACACAAACCAGCGATCCACACAGCTTTCTCTTTTTTAAGTTAAAACGTTTCAACATTCCTCAGAATGTAAAGACAGATAAGCGGTATGAAAACCTTCCAGCTGTGTTTTCCTCTGCCGTTGTTGCTGCAGCGGTCTGTGTGACGGCGGGAGCAGAGGGCTCTGTGAGCGGGCGGCTGGCCGGCCTCACACGCTCCTCCTGCGGGTTGGCACCAAGCTGCAACCTCCGGCTCTCACTTCCGATACCAATGCGGAAGTATCTGAAACTGCAATTCATCGAGTGGCCACTTGAGGCTGGCTGCAGAAGGGAGTCAATCTCCATTGACCCCCATGTTAAAAAGCCCAACTTTACAGAAGAATAAAACATGTTTACAGCCTGGTTCAAAAAATGGTTTTAGTGCATATCGCTAAGTTTGACTGTGAGGGTGGTGAATTTTTTTTTATAACTCACCTGTTTAAATTATATTAAGCCTTAAAGTTTTTATATACAGTCTGTGGTTGGCACAGGCAGCGGAGCTCCTCAACTCCGAAAATATTCAAGCTCATTTTTGTTCCGCCATCACTTCTCGGAAAACAGTCAATATTCTAAATCTACACAGCTGATTTCTCACCTCAAAACTTCTCAGAAGTGGATTTAGTGATGAAATTCGATACAAAAGCTGTAAAATATAAAACTTTCTGTTGCTGGCCTCTGTCTGGTGCACATGATGCAGTGAATAGTGAATATTCTCTCTGACCAATCAGCAGTCTGTCATGTTTTCACGTTACATTTTAGTATCTCTCAGCTGGCTTGGAACCTAGATGGAGCCAATAGTATGAAGCTGCAGTACCGGAGGCTGCAGTTTCAGGACCCCCGCAATCCTGGGACCGCAGTTCTAGGACCCTAGTTCTTTTGTGGTTGTGGTAAGGGTAATTGGCTTCAGGGGGGCTGTAAAGAGTAACATAGCTAACTAGCTAGTGTAAGCTACTTTGTTGAGTAGAGGCTTTTATTTTGAAGTGGGAAAAAAACGGAAGTTGTGGTGCTGTTCCGGTGCAACTATGTGCGGGGGTCGAAGGGAAAAAATAAAGATGTCCCGTCTTGATTCAGACGACGGAGCCTCTGTGTTGTTATTTTGGTAACCACATAAAAAGTATAGGTGAACTAATAACCGCTCCGTTACACTAGCTAGCTCTAGCTAGCCAGTCAGCTAGCTGGCAGTATCAAAGTAAACAAGGGTCCTGGTATTGCAGTTCCGGTCCTAGGATTGCAGTCCTGAAACTGCAGCCTCCAGTACTGCAGCTACATGCTACTCGATGGAGGTGAGGGGATACAAAAAAAAGCACCTGGAAGCAGGTACAGGTACAACATTTCTACAATGGAAAACCAAACAAAGGCGAGTCGAGCCAAGTCGAGCTGGTACTGTGCAGTGGAAAAGGGGCTTAACTAAAATCAAAGGGCCTCTGCTCAGACTAGCTTGGTTTGACTCCGCTAGCCGCTTGGCAAGCTTTATGACGCGTTTTCCTTGTGACGTCACAGGGAAGGAAGGGAAACGGCTGGACTACAAACAAGCTGTTTTCAAGCAGTTGAGCCGTGCTTTCTGTGGGAGATGGGAACTCCCTTTGGGCTGGACTTTGGGCTTTTTCACTTTGCAAACCTATTACATGCACAAAAAATAGATATAAATCAATAAAGGAGAGGGGGAAAGCCAAAAAGCATAATACCACCTCTTTAAGGTGTGTTTATAGCAACTTTATGCTTTTCTATAGTTCTTCAAATGCATCTTTTAATATTTTTTATTTAAGACTAAAATAAAACTTCATCTGAGCAAGGTCCTCCCTCACCCCTCTCCAGCAATGTCAGGAGTATCTCCCATGACAGATCAGACTAATGCCAGGGTGAATATTTACTCCATATAGAGGGGATTTTCCTTTTGTTCCTTTGCCTGAGAGCAAAATCTGGCTCATAATCCTTAGGCAAAGGAGACAAGGTCACTAGAAACTACATACACCAACTTCCTTATAAGAATAAATATGTGTGGCAGGTATAACTAAACAAAAAAGGTATCACATCTAAAAAAGTCACCAATAATCACCTTAACTATCACGCAGACTATAAAATCTATAAGTCACAATTAGAATATTACTGGCCTCTCTTTTGCTGGGAACAAAACATGTACTTTGAGCTGAACTGTGCCTGTGGCGTGCGCGCGCACACACACACGCTCATACGTTCAGCCGTGCGCCACAACATACCACACAGCAGCTCTCTTGCTCCCTGCACGTTGCAGATGAAGGCGGTTGGTCTGTTCAGCAGGCGGCACTGAAACACCCTGCTTCGATGTTTCTCGATCCTCTGCCGGCAGAAGCTCACCGGGTCCCGGTAAAACTCCAGCGACTTGTCCCCGAGCACTGACACACCCGCATTTCCTGGTAGTTTAGACATATGGCAGACGCAGCTTCGCCCAGTTTTTTTATTAAGTTGGAAGGTGGGTTCAATCAGGATGTTAACGACTCTTTGCTCACACAACAGTGACCCTAAACTTTAATACGATCCAGCGTCAGACTGTAAACCCTGCTGTCATTGCCTGTTAATTATTTAAATAGGCGTGGCTGTGCAGGAGCGACCTGTGTGTCAAATTACTGCTGTCTCATAGTTGGCACTGTTTTCTCTGAGGTAACGGAAAGTATCCAGCTGCGCTGGTGACGCGTTCAGGTGCTGTCCGTAAATTAGGCCTACCTGCCCTTGATGCTTTACTGTTTGTCTGCTCTGTGTCATTACTACTACAGTATTACGTCTCGCACTGTACGAAAACATATGCTTCCATTGCCATTTTTTTCATGCCACCTCTTTAATGGGCCCCTATGTGCTTTGGTTGTTGGGCTGTCTTTGAATTCTGTTTCCTCAACCTGAAGTTTTCAGCTGCTTAATTATCATTTGTACCCAAACCAATTTAAACAGGACTTTCCTCGGGCGGCCCTGACAGTGTTGGAGCCCTATAGTAATAATAATAATAATAATCCTTATTTGTAGAGTACTTTTCAAAAACAAGTTACAAAGTGCTTTAACAAGTGTAAAGAATAATACAAAAAACAAGATAAGAGCATGAAAACATTGAAAAGACTAAAATACAGATTAATATAAAATTAGTAAAATACAATGAAATAAAAGGGATAAAATAAAGTCAAATAAGATCGGGAAAGGCTCTCCTATAAAAGTATGTTTTAAGAAGGGACTTAAAAGAGTTCACTGACTCAGCCGACCTGATTTCCTCAGGCAGGCTGTTCCAGAGCCTCGGGGCCCTGACAGCAAACGCTCTGTCCCCTTTAGTTTTCAGTCGAGACTCTGGAACAGACAGCAGACCTCTGCCAGAGGATCTCAAGGTATGTGCTGGTGTGTATGGGACTAAAAGGTCAGAAATATAACAAGGCGAGAGGCCATGAAGAGCTTTAAAAGTGATCAATAGAATTTTAAAGTCAATTCTAAAACATACTGGGAGCCAGTGTAATGAAGCTAAAATAGGAGTAATGTGGTCATATTTCTTTGTTCTGGTTAAAAGCCTGGCAGCTGAGTTCTGGACAGTCTGGAGTCGATCAATAGATTTTTGGGTTAAATAGGTGAAAAGGCTGTTGCAATAATCCAGGCGTGATGAGATGAAGGCGTGTAAAATGGTCTCGGTGTCCTTAAAAGTTAACATAGATCGAATTTTAGCTATATTTCTAAATTGATAAAAACATGAAGGCGAGAATTTATCCCATATGCCCACCGTCTGGATCATTACCCACCACAGTGTGTTGTTCTGCAGTCAAACTTGTGAAAAGAGGAGTTATAATCAGGGTCAATAAGTGTGATCAGCATACTTGCCATCCTCCAGACATCATAGCCTAAAATGGAACATCAAACCTAACCCCTTATTTGGGATGTTCCCCAGGAAACAATATATCAAACAGAGATTGTTTTCCTTCATTTTTATGAATGTATTGGGTACATTTTTGTAGAAATTAAACACCATAGGGTTTTTTTGAACATTCTGGTGAAATGTTCTGCACCAATTTATGGTGGAAATGTGTTTATGAAATTCAAAATATAAACAATTAATAAAATCTAAAGCAGTAATGCCTTCAGGCATTCTGTAGCTATTGCCTTTAAATATGTTTTTTTCCCCTGTAGATCAACTTTTTTCATTTAATAAAATCCCACACATGATTTAGTCCTTCCTCCTCTTTTGTGTCTTTGTTTGCTGAAATCATCTATTTAAATGTGCATGTGCCACCTTTTCACATCAATGATAAATTAATTTATTTTAATCCAGTTATGAACATCTTTCTGGATTTCTGCACATTCAAAACTTTCTGCACATTCAGAGTCTCTCCCACATATCTGTGTTCTCTGATGTCGAGAAAGAAGTCGTAATATTAGCGTCATCATTTAATTAGAATTTATAATATTTTTGCCTGTCCTATAGCTACTCTGTGCGCTGATACAAAACTAATAAAACACTTGTGATCAGGCAGAACTCTCACCACAGATTCGCACAAATCTTTACTTCAACACTTCAAACAACCCAAACACAAGAAAAGCGATCTAGTGTATGTGGTCCAATGCAGTGAGGAATGCGCCTGTATATTGGGGAAACTAAACAACCACTACACAAACGCATGGCTCACCACAGAAGGGCCAACTCCTCAGGTCAAGACTCTGCAGTTTACTTACATCTGAAGAACAAAGGACACTCGTTTGAGGACCACCAACTGCACATTTTAGACAGACAGGATGGATGGTTAGAAAGAGGTGTCAAGGAAGCCCCTTACACCCAGAAGCCGTCGCTTAACAGGGGTAGGGGGTCTACACCACCACTTGTCCCCCACTTACAATACTGTCCTTTCATCACTTCCTAGGAAACTTAACAAACGTTCACTTTTGGCCTCAGGTTAAATTGCAAACGATTGTCGTTCAGACTTGGCCTCAGTTGGCTCTAACAACCATAATGAATGTAGTTACAGCAGCCAGGAGCACTAACGAACCAGCGGTATCGATCATCTTGGCTAACAACTCCACGTAGGTTAAATAGTTGACTTTCCCTACCAGACAGTCAGAACTGAAGTAGTATCTTGGGTGAGGGACGAAATGTCTTTTAGTATCTTTAACCAAGTCCAGTTGCCCTTGATTTTTAACCTTCCTTGGATTCCTCGCTGCAGTTCTGCATAGGCCTGAACCCCCTCAGCCAGATCCTCACAAAGATACTGGCTCTGAAGTGGAACAACCACCATTTACCTCGTCTACATGAATGACATTAAGGTGTATGCCAGGAATGAGCAAGACATTGACTCATTGATCCACACTGCAGGATCCACAGCAATGACATCAGAATGTCATGTCATTCGGAAAAGAGGGGAAATGATCAGAAACCGAGGAGGTTGAACTACCAGAAGGCAACATTGGAGATGTTCAGGACACAACTACAAATACCTTGGGATCCTGCAGGCAAATGGAAACCATGAGGAGGCAGCTAGTCAGCCACAGTCAAATACCTACAAAGAGTAAGGCAGGTCCTTAAAAGTCATCTGAATGGGAAGAACAAGATCCAAGTCATATTAACACATACGCCCTGCCAGTCATCAGAAACTCTGCTGTTATAATAAAGTTGCCAAAGGAGCAGGCCACTGATATCAAGACAAGAAAGCTCCTCACAATGCCCAGAGGGTTTCACCCTGAGACTGTACACTAAGCTGAACGAGGGAGGCCGAGGGCTACTGACATTGTGTTGATCGACAAACAGCAGAAGAAGGCAGTGGTGATAGATGTAGCAATCCCAAACTTTAATAGGCAGGTGGTGACTTGCACCTCAACAGGCTTCTCCAGCGCTTCCTCTTTTTGAAGCACGCGGTTATCACCCAGCTGTAGATTTAGGCTGCCTGGATTTCCGTCAACATCCAACACGAGAAAGGCATCAAAAACTTTGGTCTGATGTAGTGCTGATCTGTTGAGAGAAAGAAAACATCAGGTATCATATTGTTAGATACTTTTTCCCTCTATCACCAAATCATGAATCTTCCAACAGTTAGAAATAATATAGTCCCTCTCTTTGCTCTAAACATTGACTAAACATTTGCCTACATTGTTTAATTTTGAGTAGATTAAAATATAGGCCTTTTACAAGAGCACTTGTTTGACTTTAAAATATACATACATATTTCACTACTTAGTTGTTAGATGATTTTGTCATTCTGAGGTCACTCTCTTACGTGGGCCCCAGCTCCTGTAGAAGATAATATATATAATGTTCTGACACCATAATACCTACAAAAAAAATACAACAGCAACTGTAGCTGTCAGATAAATGTAGCAAAAGAAAAGGAAAAAGCCCACTCTCTCTCCTCCAAAGCGTAACCTTTTATTATGGCAGATGTATCACTTTGAAAACACTAAACTTACCTAGTGGAGATCTGACTTTTGAACTTGAATTAAATGGACAGCCTTCCTACTGTAGTGCGCATGGCATATTGCCCCCTCTGAACCTTCTTCATGGCCACCTCCCACTCCACCATCATAAGGCCTTGAGCATCCCTGCAGAAGAGGAGGGCCTCTGCTTCTTCGCTTTGCTCCTCTGAAATTGAGGAGCACTTCTAAAAGACATTGTGAGTATAAGGGAGAAACTGCTCCCTCAACATGTGGCCCTCAGTTTTAACCTCCATCTTGCCATCGGAAATGGCGGCAACTTTATTATTTATGGTGGTGGCTGGCCATCAATCATATGGACTGCTCCACCACAGCCAACACACTTATGTATATGAGTATTAGGAGGCTTGAAAGAGGAACGGGTAGGCCTATGGATCACCCTCCCACGGTTCTGAACCACAGAAGTTCAACCATTATAATATGAAAAACAGTTTTACTGCCACTGTAACTTTTTAAAGTAATAATTCTGTAAATCTTGATTTTTACCATTAAAAGACAGATGCATGCTATGTTTGACTCTAAAGCGCAATCATTAGGGGAGAGCGACTGATTCAAAAGCCGTTGAGTGAAATCCTGTAGGCTGCGACTTTGGGCATTTTAACTGGTGTAACTGGGACACTGGGTATGCTTGTCTTCATAGAATTACAGTCCCCTCCAAAAGTATTGGAACGGTAAGGCAAATTCCTTTGTTTTTGTTGTTCACTGAAGACATTTGGGTTTAAGATCAAAAGATGAGACAAGAGTTCAGAATTTCCTTTTATTTCCTGGTATTCACATCTAGATGTGTTAAACAACTCAGAACATACCACCCTTTATTTGAACCCACCCATTTTTCAAGTGAGCGAAACTATTGGAACATGTGACTTACAGATGTTTCTTGTTGCCCAGGTGTTGCCTTTTAGGTTGATTGTCCGAACATTAAATAGCTCTGCAGGACTAGTCTAAGTTTTCATGCTTGGTTCAAACCTGTAAATACTGCATTTCCTGTTAAAGAGGATAAACCAACATGAAGACCAGAGAGCTGTCTATGGGAGAAAAGCAAGCCATTTTCAAGCTGAGAAAAGAAGGAAAATCGACCAGAGCCATCAGACAAACGTTGGGCATAGCAAGCACAACAATGTGTGCTGAATGTCCTGAAAAAGAAAGAAACTACTGGTGTACTGAGCAACAGACGTCCAACAGGTCAGCCAAGGAAAACAACAGTAGTTGATGACAGAAATATCGTGAGAGCTGTGAAGAAACTCCCAAAACATCAGTAAGTGACATCACCAACGACCTCCACAGTGCAGGGTGAAGGTATCACAATCCACTGTTCGAAGAAGACTCAGAGAGCAGAAATATAGAGGCCACACCACAAGATGCAAACCACTCATCAGCAGGAAGAATCAGAAGGCCAGATTGAAATTTGCAAAGAAGTACAGAGATGAGCCACAAAAGTTCTGGTACACAATCTTATGAACTGATGAGATCAAAATTAATCTCCACCAAAGTGATGGAAAGACCAAAGTGTGGAGAAAGAAAGGAACTGCTTATGATCCGAAGCATACAAGCTCATCTGTGAAGCATGCTGGAGGTAATGTCATGGCTTGGGCGTGCATGGCTGCTTCTGGTACGGGCTCATTAATATTTATTGATGATGTAACTGATGATGGTAGCAGCAGAATGAATTCAGAAGTGTACAGAAACATATTGTCTGCCAATTTACGGAGAAATGCATTGAAACTAATTGAGAGGAAGTTTATCATGCAGCAGGACAATGAGCCAAAGCACACTAACAACAAAACAAAGGACTTCATCAGGGGAAAAAAGTGGAAGGTTTTAGAGTGGCCAAGTCAATCAGCTGACCTTAACCCAATAGAGCATTTCACCTCCTTAAGAGGAGACTGAAGGGAGAAACACCCCGAAACAAACAAGAAGTTAAAGAAGCTGGTAAACCCGTAAATCACAAATGAAGAATGCAACAGTTTGGTGATGTCGATGGGTCGCAGGCTTGAGGCAGTTATTGCAAGCAAGGGTTATGCCACCAAATATTAAATGTTTAAGATTATTTGTTCCATTACTTTTGCTCACCTAAGAATGCTGTGGTCTAATACAAAGGGTGGTATGTCCTAATTTGTTTAAAACATCTAGATGTGAATACCTGGAAATAAAAGCTGAAATTCATCTTTTGATCTTAAACCCAAATGTCTTCAGTGAACAACAAAAACAAATGAATTTGCCTTACTGTTCCAATACTTTTGGAGGGGACAGTACATCAGACTGTGATGTGGGGGGGACACTGAGCGAGACTACAGAGTGGTGACTACAGACACAGAGAGGCAGCTACATCAGAGCCAAACCTTACCCTTAAATTTTTTTTTGCTGATCCAAAACATGATCTGTTTTTTGACTCAAAACCACAGAATGATTAGAACTTTGAGTTTTGTGATTTAACCCTAGAAATGAATATTAGGTTTTAGTTTGCAATAGAATTTTGTAGCTAAATACAATATTCGAATAACCTGTAGTTGCACGAAACAGGTACAAATCTCAAGTGGTGAGTGTCGATTTGGCGAGAGTATTCCTCATCTAGAGTCACTTTAGCGACGTCATTTCTGATAGCTTTGCCTGTCCTCAAACTGCCAGGAAGGAGACTTGGTTGGTCTTTCACGGCGAACACACACACTTGGAGTGGCAGGGACCGAGAGTATGGTGTCTCTGGTTGACTCCCAAGAATTTTTCATAGATTAATTCTGTAAATAAACACAGAAAAAGTTATGCCAATACTGTTACTGTTAAATTTTTTGTTTTGTCCACAACCCAAATTCAGTTTACAGTCATAGAGAAGTAAAGAAACCAAACATATTCACATTTGAGAAGCTGGAATCAAAGAATTTGTCTATTTTTCTTAAAAAATGTTTTAACTGCCAAAGTTGAAATAGCTAGCCAGCTACAAGCCTGAGGGTGGGAGCGCGAGAAGTCAGAAGTCAGTCTCACTTTGGTCCCACAAACCCAAGCAGATAGAACAGGACTGGTGGGGGTTTGTAGTCATCATGGGCGAAGCACAGGAGGCGCACAACTTGGAAGAAATTATGTGTAGGAAAAAAAAACTTCTGCAGCACCTTTAACAGTCTACATAAAACTGGAAAGGTGATAATCCTTTTTCCAAAGGCAGTAAAAGAGAGAGAGGAGCATTGCCTGTGCTAATCCCTGATAGGGTGGTGAGTGCAAATTTCTTTTTTCTCAGGTGCCGAGGGCAAAGCCTCCAGAGGCTGAACCAATAGCGAAGCCCTGTTAGAGGGGAGCAGGTATGAAATAGAACAGATATTTGCTATATAGCAGAACCCTTAAAAAAGCATAAAATCTGTTTATATATATATAAGGTTGCTTCACTAATTTTAGGCTAAGCATTGAACATAATTTATGATGCATTCTCTGCTTTTATGTTTTTTTCCTCTTCATAATGTAGTTAAATCACTTTAATAATAGTTTAACGATTTCGTTTTAAGCTTCAACACTAAACATCATTTTTGTGGTCCCTCGCTTCACTGTCTGCAGCCGTCAAACTTTGGCTGTATAGCTGTCTCGTCTGTGTCATTGCATTGTAAGGCCACACGATGGCAGCACCAATCACCTCTCTCTCTCTACCCTCTCTCTCTCTCCCCTCTCTCTCTCTCTCGCTCTCTCTCACCTCTCTCTCTCTTCGTCTCTCTCAATGGCACGAGGCGACTGTCGCCCAGTGTCACTCATCTGCGGCTCGCGCATATCGGACTCTCTGGGCATGTGGGATTCCCCCCCCCCGCCCTTTTACTTCTTCGTAATTTCAGCCGGGGCATGAGCGCCACTAATACGCACTGGGGCATCTGTTTCGGAGGAGCGGAGGCGAGGAGCCCGGCACAGGTGAGCGTGTTATATGAAATGTTATTTTAAAAGTTTGACACACAGAAGAAAGGAAGGTAGAAGAAATGTTGTAAGAATTTCAACTTATTGGATGTTACAGGGCGATATTTTGCTGCGTCGAGTTGAACTTGAAACACACATCATGATAAGGACAGTTTAATTAAGTAAAGTCTACAGAGAACTCAAACCCGAATTAGTCTATTTTCTCTGATTATTATTATAAAAGAGACAGGTCACTGTGTGTCTCCAACCAAGAGTTCTGCATTTATCTAATAGCATTTCACATTCATATTTATTTCACATTTCACATTTATTTATTGACACTGATATGGCAGCTGATACTTTGAGTGAGTATTATTTTAGTCTCCATCCTCCTCCTTGCTTAATCTGTAGTCATGAAATGATCATTAGCTTACTACTATTTGTCATACAGTTTTGATAATGGTCATTTATGTATACCTACTCACATTTAATCTTCATTTGATGGACATGTACCTCTTTAAATTTGCTGATATCCCCAATTTCACCACTTGTAATGCTCCTATATGTTTTCCATAAACACAAATAATTTATTCCAGACATTTTATACATGTGGATACATAATGGCTGGGTTTTACAAAGAAAATGTGAATTAGTGCACAGGAACAGACGTTAATGGGCTACAGGCAAATGACTATTCATTTAGACAGAAACATGTTTGTTATTTTTAGTACAAATTCAAAGAAACTTGGCCCCAGAGTAATTGCTTAAACTTTGGTTGAACTTTAGGTCTTATGACTTAGTTTATGAGAGTAGGCCCTACGTCTGAGCGTATGGATGGGTAGCCTAAACAGACAGTCGATGTGTGCAATAGAAAGAAGAGGGACAAGAGGAGGACAGTTCAGGGGCATCTGTCCAGGCACTCTTGGGTGTGATAGCCTGCTAAGACACCCATGAAAAGATTAGGAAGACTTTGTTTTACGTCAACGTCTCCAAAAATGTTTTCAGGCTGTCAGGACACATGAAAAGGTCTGCTGTTGTTCAATTATACCGAACAGAGTGAACTGATTGCTGACATTTCAATGCAGACCTACTGCAATTTCTCCATCCTTTTTATTTTTTTTACAGTATAGTTTGTCTATTAGGAAAATGAACCACACGCACACTTATTACTGTATCCACACCGAAGGTCATGTGCACACACACACACACACACACACACACACACACACACACACACACACACACACACACACACACACACACACAGAGGCCTCCTATTGATGCAATTGCACTTCAGCAGTGGAAAGCTACTGCTGCTGCTGTATATTTGGCTGCTTTTCACGCTTTTAATTGACTGTAAACATTGTAATAATACTATACAACAGTAAGATAACTGCTCAGATACACTGTAGATTGTATTGTTTACACTATGTGAGCATCTGTGTGTGTTTTGAGTGTGAGATAAAGAGAGGGATCAGCGATTTCTAATTTAGACAAATGTGAAAACAGCATAATGAGTAGAAGTAGATTGACTTTTAAATATTGTAGTATTCTAGTAAGTAAAGCAATACAAATCAGGTGGCAAGCGCAGGAAACATCTAGTAAGTAAAGGAACCAAGTCTGATGATGTGTTTTCAAGCTTTTTAAAATTCTTATCCTGAACCACAGGTAATCTATCCTAAACCTGCCCAATGCTAATTTACTGAAAACAAAGGTTGAGTTTTTCTGGTCTCAGTGAGGTACAACTCTGTACCCTGTTTTTTTGAGAGTGTATGAGCTTATGATTCTGTTTGACAAACCTAAACATTTTATCTCCAATTTACACAATTACATGTCACACAGTCCTGTAGTAGTGAGCAGAGATATGGAGATAGACAAGATGATGGACCAACACAGATTAACAATGCTAGAAATGAGCAAGTGCAAGAAAAAGCAGATTATGTGTCGCAGATAGGAATAATATTACAGTTTTTCTCAGTCGCTTTGGTACATTTCTCAGATCAGAATTGAAATTCTCAAAATTACTTGTAAACCCTCCATATCACTTGTACACATAATATGTCATTCTTTGACACATTCATGCAAATGATTATGTGCAATTGTCTGCTGTGTCATTATCAATGGCTTATTTCATGTTTCATAGTCTTACCCCCCAAAACATCAAAGCACAAGCTCATTGCATAAGTCACTGCATGCAAAATGGTTGAACACACTGTCACAATCTGTCAAGCATATTTTCTATACAAGTCTATTAGACATTTTATTTTTTGTAAATATCCTGAATTGATGAAGATATCCGTTGTGATTTGGATGAGAATCTGTGGCCCGACAGACAGGGACATCAGACTAAGAGGTGTTTCCTATGTTTACATTTCTAATTTTGTAATTGTTTCAGTTGTGCTCTGCAGTGCTGTAAAACAGTCTTTTTCTTTTCTGTTTCACAATGACGTGCTCTGTCAGCAAATTACAGTACAAACAGGAAAAGCGTAACTGTGAATCCTGTCCAATCTCTTGCAATGTAAAACTTTGTACTGGTGAAACTGATACACGCCATACTGAAAAAGTGTGCATTGTGCATTTTGCATCATTTTCATCCAAACCTTAGCCAAAGTTTATATCAGAAAATACATCCAGAGGACACTGTTATATTGACTAACAGGCTAAACATTTTGACCATCTTGTTTGTAAACAATGACACAAAGACTTCGCTGGATTTACTTTTGAGAGATATACTAAGGATCTTGAGCAAGTTACGGGCTTTTTCATGGTTATTTTACATAACTATGATCTTTTTCCTAACATTTAACATTCCGTATTTGTCATTACTGAAGTAAGTAGTATGTGTAATATTGTCCAATATTGATGTTCTAGTCTGGCGTCTGGCGATAGGGTTGGAAGACAAAACATTTCTACAAAATGCCATCAGCATGAATTAGACATTTTCACCTCTCAATGTCAAAACAGGTAACTACTGGGTTTAGGTAACTCGAAGTTAGGCAAAAACACACCCTTACTATACATCGTCTTGTCGAGTTTCTCTGTTTTCTCACTTTCTTTTTGCAATTCTCTAAATCAAACTGGTGGGAAATGTATTTCTTCTTGTCAAAGCAGAATATTAATAATTAACAATTTAAATTTTGCATGGTAGGAGATCATTTTGTGAGATTTCCTCCAGCATGTTTTTATTAAGTTTGAGGTAAGTCTGGATATAATGGACATTTGGCTAGGCAAATGGCAGAAGTGGACAGTGGATTTAAGGTCTCATTCACTGATCTCACTTGAAATATTTGCCATTTCAGTGTTATGTAATCAAACATGAGAACCCACAGTCTACTCCTTCTGTTCTGATTGTTTACCTGTAGAAAGTATTACAGATATTAAGGAGGGATGACTTATATTTAGTTAGACTGGAACATGTCTAAGCGATCACGCAGGATGCAGCATTTTCAAACAAGGCTGATACAGTAGTGTCATCCAATAGTAATTCCCTAGGCCATTGTTTAAGTCCACTCTCTGGTAATAAATCACTTTCATTGCTTTCCCTTGACATGGCTCCTATTCTCAGAAAATCTTGTCCAAACCAGCATTAGCTTGCCAACATCTTTTGGCTTGTCCACATGTACAAAACATATTATATGGCATCCACACTGTGTAATCCTTTAAACACTCAGCAGTGGTCCTATTCAGCATTGAGAATAAGAACCAACAGAACCTCATCACTCATCATCCCTGAAGTTTTTTCCCCCAGGAATGAACAGATGAACAGAGAATGAACAGCCCCAATTACCTAACCTCTGGCAGCATCTGGGAAGGCAATTTGTAAAAATCCATTGTATTCATTCACCGTTATTAGACAATTTATTGTGTCAAAAGTTGAAGCTGGATAAATCTGATTTTGATGATCTAAGACTGTAATAACCACTCCTGCCTCATCCAAAAATTGTAACCCTAAGCAAGGCACAACTCCAACACTGGCTAGCAGCCATGAGCAGACTGATCGTCCTGGCCAGTTTTCAGGTATGAGCATCAGTAAATGAATCAGGCAGGTGACACAAACTGCAGAGAGATAGTGAATGTACGCAAGTAACCTGCCCCCTAGCTAATGAAGATTAAACAGTGTATTAGCAATGTGTTTTTTTTGGTCCCTGGTCTCTGCCTTTACCATAAACAGTTAACTTCTTGTCTCTGCTATCGCCTACTGTGCTGTCCTTATTAGCCGCTCCCTGTAGACATTTAGGAGAGAGCCACCGCCTTCAGGCTAATTTTAGGCCATCTGTACCAACTCCAACTCATTAGCCTGATTCCTAGGGCTAGCCAGGCCTCATTCATTATCAATGTCACCTCACCCAAAGCAACACATCGATCTATACTTTTTGCTTCTTGGTTATCAATAGAGATAAGTTATCATATGGGCAGTAGTAAATTCAACACAGGACTGTCAACACTGACATAAGCTTGTCGCTTTGTTTTGGTCCTCTTGCGGACACAGTATAAAAATACATTTTGTTAAGGATATTAACCCAGTTTTTCTTTACATTTGTGCCACTCACCCAGACTCTTCTGTCCTTTCCTGTTATTCCAGGTTTGTCTAAACGCAGTCAGCATCGTTGAAGATATCAGGGCTCATTAGGAAGCCATTTGCAGCTGTTTATTTTTTCCCAGCATGAAAAAACAACGAGTGACTGACTCACCCACTGAGAAACCCAGAACTACACCTACACCTGAACAAGTGTGCTACTGCTCTGCAGTGTACAGAGGAGGAATGCAAGGTTGTTAAAGCAATATTCTTGCAAGTCAGAACGTTGTGTAACATGTCCAATTTGTTTTCACTGACATGACAGCTGCTTTTACATCGCTTTTACACTCCAAAAAGTGAGTTCGGATAGTATCAACTGATTCATAGTTTCGAAGAGCAACAGTCATAAAGTAAGCAAAGATTCACTAGTCCCCTCTTCTCAAATACATTTACTGTTCTCGGTTTCCTGACATTTTAGACTAATTAAGTAAAAGAAAATGTG